CCCACGCCTGCCACATCTGCTGCCTCCATACGTGGGCAACATGTGCTGGGGCGCACCTCCAGCCTCTGCTTCCCCATGCTTTACACTTCCCAGGAGACCTGTGCTAATCCTTTGGAAATTCTTCCAGAATGAGAATAAAAAATATCAAGATTTATATTGACTATTGGTATATTGCCATGCGGAAGGGAAGGGAGATGATGATATCTATGCTGTGCACTGTCTTCATGGCCACCCAGGGCAACCACCATACTTGCTCAGCATAAAGAATTTTCAACAGACCTGAGTTCTTAGTGGGTTACCATGGTGGAAGAGAGATGGAGCAACTGGAAACCTCCCAAGATTTTCTTATTTCTCCAAAGCAAAATGTTCTTGTATTGATGTCTTCCCCCAAGAGAGGCAGACCCAAGGCAGGAAGATGGAAGAAGATACATGCCATTGTCTCTAACCCTGAATCGTGTTGTTCATTCAGCTTTATCTTGAGTTAACCCCACATGTCCATTTGTGACCAGTGGTTTGGGTAATTCAGATCCATAAATGTACAATGCTAAGGGCAGCTCCCTGCTTTTAACTATTTCCCAGAGATGCCAGTTTTGTATCTGGGAGGAGCAGGCAAGAGGCAGGACCAGACTCTGTATACACATTCCCAAACCCTATAATTGATAGTAAAGAGCACAAGGTGGCTGGTCTAGGGACACCACGTGCCTCTCAGGTCATCCCAATTTGTCCACAATATGGGCCAGTAATGGGCATGGGTAGGTCTGCAGATAAGACCCCAAAGAGCTAATCAGTTCATGCCTTTGAAAGAGGGGGCTACAGGAAACTGATGCTTAAAAACCCAGACCACCAGGGCTGGAGGTAGGACCATTATACCAACCTCAGGCAGGGAAAGGGGAGCAGAGGGGCCTGGAGAGGACCAAAACATGGCATGAAGGAGGGATGTGAGGTTTGAAGGCCTCCCTGCCAATCTTGCCTTAGGTTTGGCTGGGTTTGGGGGTCTTCTGCATTTGGAGAGAGGCCAGATCCAGATGAGGAGGGACAGCAGCAGCAGTACAAGTGGAGAGCCTCAGTGGCAGCCGCAGGCCTTGACCACCATGTTGCGGTGCTTGCGCAGGATGACATTGTTGCTGCTGTCATAGTAGAGCACAGAGGTGGCGCTCAGCTTGGTGGGTGCACAGCATGCCTTGGGGACTGCGTCTGGCTTCATCAAATGCACCTGGCCAGGGAGGAGACACGGGGTGGGATTATGAGCTTAGCAGCCTCCTCCTAGAACCCACCCAAGCCACCCTCTGCTGCCTGCACTGGCCTGTCCTACAGGTCTCAGCCCCCAGCCCCATTCGAAACCACTCTCCACCTGCAGGCAGGCAGTTTTCACCAGGCACATCTGCCCTGCTCACCGCCCTGGACACACAGCTGGACACCTGGCACTGCTGTCCAGGCCCTGCACACCTGTTCCTCAGCTCTCTGGGTCCCCTGCCCATCCCTGCCACATCTGCTACCTCCACAAGTGGGCAACATGTGCTGGGGCGCATCTGCAGCCTCTGCTTCCCCACGCTTTACACTTCTACTCTATCCCCATGGGGAACGTCATTAGCTGTGCACAGGTCTGTCCCTACACAGCTGGAGTGTGTGGAGCGTTCATGGAACCAGTGGATGAGACCTAGAGCCTGGGTGTGCTCCCCACTCAACAACAGCAGCCAAGGCAAGGAATGGTCTCTGCCAAGGATGACCTGAGGCCACACAGTGGGCTACATGATGAGCCTGAGTGAAGCAGGACTGGAACCAGGTGCCAGATCCCTCACCCCCACTAAAGCAGCCTTTGCCCTCCCCAAAAAGCTGAAGGAGCCAGCGGTTTCCAGGATGAGCTGCCATTTATCCTGGATCCCTCACAGGACTCACACACAAGGGTCCTGGGAGACAGTACTGCCACCTTCGAGGGGAGCCAGAGAGTAAAGGAACCTGCTTCCCTCCTGTGTGTTTGGCTGCTCCAAGGCCTGGGGGGACCCCCTTCTCTTGGCCCTCAGTGAGGCTTGCTCACCTGCCATATCCCGGCCTCCCACAGACCCCCATGGCTCCTTCTCCTGCCCAGGCCCTGGGAGCCCCACCTTGTCCTGGCCATCTCTCCTAA